AAAAAAAAAAATTGTCAAAATTGTGTGGAATCATACCTATTTGTTAATGGGGATAAAGCACACCACTTCAAAGGAAACATATTGATCATACTCTTGCGATCAGTCCTCCCACCCCACACTCGCTCACTGTCTCTTCACATTTATCTCCTTATTGCCCATCTCCTCAATTCACCATTCCTCCAAACCTTTTTTTTTTTATAATGATGATACAGGTTTTTATGCATAGTTGATACCCATCTGTATCAAAAAAGGTTATAAATCAGATTCAATCCCCATGCCCACCAAGGATAATGCAAATTTGTTCATGAGATAGAGGACAAGGACCAGTCACGACAAAGTCTCCACAAGATATCCCTTGAACTCGAAACCAGGGCCTTTGTATCGTGGCTATTCCAAATAAGTCGAAGAAAGGTAAATCAGCTAGCAAAAGCAACCAGCTCATTAGAGAGATTAAGAACCTTACATCTTCTGTGGACTACAAGTCCCATCTCACCTTGCCATAGAATGGCCACTCCCTGGTGATTATCCATTCTCGGAACGCTCATGGCCTTGGCTTAGGCATAAGAGAGCCTGATCAAAGACTCTCTCCTCAGAATTAATCCTACTTTTGTACTCCTCCAACAAACTAAAAAAGATTCGGTTGATAGGTTTTTTGTCAAATCACTTCGGAGCTCATGTCGCCATTGGATGGGCTTGCTTTGAATGCTTGTGGTTCGGTTGAGGGTATTTTTATCATGTAGAATCATCCTTCTACTGAGGCAATTAAAGTCATTGAAGGTTCTTACTCCCTTACCCCTCATCTCTCCCTTTTAGATGGTTTTAATTGCTGGCTTTCTGATATCTATGGCCAGAATAAATCAGTCAACAGAGCATCTCTTTGGGTTGAACATATGACCTCTCTCATCTTTGTACTAACCATTGGGTTTTAAGGGAAGACTTCAATGTGACTGGATGGACTTCCGAAAATTTGAAGGGGTAGATTGATCACTAAGAGCATGAAACTTTTCAAAAAAAATTCCAAAGTGAACCTAAAAAAAACCACCCCAATCAGCAATTAATTACAAAGAGCATCCGAAGAATAAGAGATAAGAAAGTGATGGCCATCTTTTTTCTAGCAATACTTTCATTCTCCATGTAAGGGGACAATCCTTCAAAGCTTCCACAGGAATCTATCCCTCCTCAACTTAGTGCAGCAAGGATCACATCCTTTCTCATGTGGCTACTTGTTAAAAGACAACAACAATGTCTTATGACTCAATGCTACGAAAGCCACTTCTAAGAACATTCAGATTAAGCAGGATACAAGAACTACTAAAGAGGATGCTATTGTGTGGGATGCTTCACT